AGTTGGCATCCCTATGCTGCTGGTGTGGGGGGAGTTTTTAGAGATCACTTGGGTATTATGTTATATTCTTTTGCCTCTCTTGTTATTGTTGTTGGCCCCTCTGATGTTAAATGTTGGGTAATTTTCCTTGCTCTTCAACTTGTTGTTTTCTTTCATTTCACTGATATTACTGATTCCACTACTATCTTCCATATTTTTACACATAACAGGAAACCTCCTTGGAATCTAATTGGTATCTTTAATAGAATATGTCACCTAACTAATTCTTATCACCTGAATTTTCAGATGAGCTTTCAATACAGGGAGGGCAATGTTCCTGCTGATTGGTTAGCCAAGAGATGAGTTACTGGCATTCTTGTTGGTACGCAACCTTCTTTCCTTTAAAAAATTTGCTTGCTTTTGGATATCCCCTATGTCAGAACATAGTCTCTTTGCTAAGCCTTATTCTGTTTATGAGCATCTTTTTTAGCATTGCAGAGGTTTAATGGCCATAATCTGTTTTTTAACTGGAATGTGTGGAATTCCTTACTGGAGAATTGTTATTAGCTTGCATAGTTCAGGACTGCATACAAAATTTGATGAACTGGGTGCATTGTTTCCTAAAGAAGTTTTTTAGTACTGGAAGTCATTTGGTTGCTCTGTTGCTTTCTTCCCATTCATTGTGATCCTATGGGATTCATGCCTGCCCTCTGCATTCCTTGATGCTAACCTTGAGCTGCCTCTGGATGGTTCTCTATAATGCTATGAACTGCTTGGTTTATATCTCTTATTGGTCTACCATTTTTAGTTGGAATGTTCTCTCGTAGTGCTCTCACCTCACATACAAAACATAATACTTCATCTTTTCTTTTTGGACCGGGTTACTGTATTTTGGTGTGGTGGAGGATGCTCGAGACTGCTATGTTGGTTTTTGCTTTATGAAAGCTTTCATTAGGCTGATTTCTGTTCTTCTCATGTCTACCTTAAGTTTTCTGGGTGGTGGTGCTCTGTTCCTAGATGGACATTTGTTATGCTGGAATTACTTCTCCCTTGGACGGATAGTTTTTGTAGCTGCAAGGGCATACACTGTGGATATCTTAACTTCACTTTACAGACAAATTTTGGCACTAACCTTTCAGCTTTTCTTTTGGTGTTTTGTTTCTTTGCTCTAGGTATACATGTATTTTTGATCTCTCTCTTTTCTGTGTGGAGTTGTATTGAGGGTTGAGGATTCCTTAGGTTTTAATTGTATTTTTTTTGCTTTCAGACATAGGGATCCTCCCTCCCCCTTTTTGTATCCCTTCCTCTGATATTAACATGTATGATGCCGCATAACGCTAATGTGATATATATATATATATTTCTTATAGTAGAATTTTTTTTTTTTGAAAATCTCCTTTAAAGTCTTAAGGAGGTTTTCTTGATTTTACTCAAACGTATGTGAAGGTGATCCCTTTTAGAGCATATTTAGTTTATATTTATTTTATAAAACTATCATTTTATAGCACATTTAATTTATATAGTTTTATAAAAATGTCAATTTTTATGAGAAAATTTAGTTATATATTTTTATAAAAATACCTTTTTTAGGGGTTGTTATTATATAAACTTTGAGAGCCACTCTCTCCATCCTTAGCCTATTTAAATTAATCTTTCTCAACACATAAATATCATCCATGTATTTTTTACCATCTTGAGGTCACAATTAGCATGGGCATGGATAAGCATAAGATCACAGCTTATATGTGTATACAAAACATAAAATCACAACTTACATAGGCAAGGGTAAGCAAAAGATCACAAGAAATTATGATAGTTGTAAAATTAAAATGGCAAATCTATCTTATATAAGTATAATATACATCTTTCTTGATGCAACATGAAAATTATGTCAAGTGCTTTCTTGTATAAAGACCTATACATGTTTTTCTTAGAAAGCTCAATTATGGTGTCTTATACACCGACATTACATGCCTTTTTTGGTGTGGTAGATAAACATATCAGGCTTTCCAATATCACCAAGTAGGGTTACTGTAGAAGTGTAGGGATAATTTTTTTAAAACACAAAAAATACAAAAAAAAAAAAAAAATTGTTGAGCTAAAAAAATAGGGAATGTAAGGTATTAAATTTTGAGAATGATAATTGGTATTTCTTCTTTTCCAGCTAAGTAAACATTGTTCCAAAGATATTTGACCATCTATAAGCATAAAGATGTTGAAACTTTGAAGGAGCTTCCTCCAAATAGAGTATATACCTGCAAGAAAAAAACAAGTGAACAATTTAACAACAATGCATTCATATGTAACTTATCGAAATAATTTTCAAATATGTGCATGTATCATTTGACAAAATTAATCACAGCATAATATCTTATAATTCTGACGAGAAATACGAGGTCATGCAAACATAGTAAAGCTGTGCTGAAATTTTAAAAACAAAAACTTAACATAGATAATCCAAGAAGTGCATGGCTTTCCCAAATCAAAATTGTGACTAATTTACTGATAAAAAACTATTATATACTAATGTATTGTCCCCTTAAATATAATACAAGCAAAAATAATATCATTAACTAGTTTTAATTAAGTATTATCTATTTAAAATTTACTCTACATTAAACAAACATCAGATTAATAACAATGTCTTTCGTTCAGAAAGCCTTTATTGTTTATGATTTTTCAATTTATGATTTAAAAAGTGTGTAAATCTATTTATTAAAAATTAGACTTGACATTGCACATATTATTACTACTACACCAAAAAAATTAATTTGTATAAGAATATAGTTGAGATCATTTTCTTACTTATAGATTGTTATTATTGAAATATTATCCCAAATTGATTTCTATAGAATAGCTTAAGATCATGCATAATTTCTAGAACATCTTTATTTATAATTTTGTAAATGAAGTGTTGCATCAAGTAAACAAGTTAGTCATTGCTTAAATTAAAATAGAGCACACTAGATTTTTGTGTAGGTTTTGTATTAAATTTTACTAAAATTTTAAATAAATTATCTCTAGACTTCTAAAACTCATGTGCTAGCATTTCCTTATTTCCAAGGAGCTTGAGGAGAGCTTAAGTTAATATTTAAAAATCTTTGACCACTGTTGTAATTGAGGAAAGCACTGCAAAATGAATCTACCCTTGTATTCAGGCATAATGGAGTGCAAGAAGAATTTGAGTGATACGATGCCATAACACTCATAGGCAGCAATATCTCATATATCATGTAATGAACTTTTATTTATTAAAAAATATTACATAAACATAAGCTTAGACTATTTAAATAATCATTCCTTTTCAACTTAATGACATTGAGATTGTTGCTTTATAAGATTGATCAAATAATGTCAAAAATAGTAAGCTTTGATTCATAAACCTTTGAAAACACAACATAAATATGTTATAAAGAAGTCAAATTTTATTGAGCAACATAATGTGATCATAAGGTCAAAAAAATTCTGCTAAAAATAAAAGCAATTGTTACCAACAACCACGACAACAACATCAACAACAAGCCACCATCCCCCTAATGGGGAAAAAAATTACCGTACCATCTAATAACATTATTGGTGTGTTCAACTATTCAAAATATGCTATGCTTACAATCTACAATTACCTTTCTTTTTGTAGAAGATTTCTTATAAACCCAACATCTAATTTTTTAAGAAAATTTTTTTTCTTCTTTGATTTATAACTTTAAATCATCATCACAAACAGTTTAAACAGGTGCAATAACATGTCTAGCCACCTATCATATCTTTATATACAATAGGATGAGATGGGAAAACATCGCAACCGCAAAATCGTATCGTCGTCAATCTTTACCATGAATGAGAGAACCAGTGGAAAACCAGTGGAACTATTAGATGATAGAATACATGACAAGTACCTCATTATTATCATCCTTCTTCATCACCATCTAAAGTGGTTCCCTTCACGTGAGTTTAAAGTTATGATTTATAATTTGTTATAAAAAAAAGGTTTTTTTAATCCAAAATAAAATACTTTTTCAGATAATAGAATATAAAAGCATTCGAATAATTATAGTTATTGAGGTATATAATCCAATTTTTCATTGTAAATTAAAAATTAAACCTTTTCAATAGAAAAAGATTTAGCAAGTCTCTCATTACCATCATTCTTCGTTTAGGGTCCGATTAGGGCAGTTTATTTAGTGCGGTGATATTTTGAAAACGCACCTGACCTGTTTGGGTAAATTACATTTTGGTAACTTATGCGTTTTGAAAACACTGAAAGCAACATTTTCACACCGCACCTAGATTAGGTACGGCGACAACTTTCTGGCAACGGTCTGACTTTTCCAAAAAACTAAAAATTTGTAATAGCCACCGCAACTAGCTTATTAACAGATTATTTTTAATCAACTTATCAACAAATTATTCAATAAGTTGTAGCAACCCCAAATAGCAATCCCAAACAGACCCTTAGTGTTATCATATATAATTCAACTTTTCTTGAACGTTAAGCATACCTGCACTTCCTTTTATATGCATATAAAAGTCAATTTAATAACACTTCTAAAGACGCTGAACCTTTGTTACGTTGCAATGAGCACTTATACTTGTTAAAGTTTAAAGTTTCTGTTGGAAGCAGCGCCTGTTGAACTTCTCCCGAAGTTGGTCGCCAGAATGACAATTTCTCGTCATTTTGAACCGTGGAGGACCTTCTCCATTCTGCCAACACGGCTTTCAAAAGAACTTCATTGAACGATTAATCTGCTTCAAACGAACTCTAAACTTGTGCAAAAGAAAATTATATACCGTCACAAAAAAAAAATTTCAAGTTAAAAATCAGTTATATTTATGATTAATTAAAACATTTGCTGGGCAGATAAAAACAAAACCAGGGAAAATAATATAACTAATTAAAAATAGATGGAAAATATTTCTTCACAAGGAAAACGACTGTGGAGACTAACATTTGGCATTAATGATCCCTTGCTCATTAGACGCCTAGTTATTTCTACGCCTTGGAACAACTAGTCATACCCGCAAAATTACAACCCGCCGTATCTGCAAAAACGCTCACCACACAGACAAGAAACATAATAATATTTTGTAATATTTTTTAGCTCCTTTGCTTCACAGCTGAGCTGAATGTTAAGCAGCATGGGATTTATATAGAATTGAAAATAAGAAGATTAAATCTGATTAGAAAAGTTATTTAAATAAAGAACTATCACAAGCTAGCAAGAGTCAGGCAACTGGAAGAAAGTTTGAATGACATTCCTATTATAATCTGCATGAACGAACTGTGAGATAGTTATTTAGAGTTTTTTGAACTATAAATTTATGGGTATAAACATAAGAAAAGAGGAACTAGAATTAAATAGGGCAAAAAACACTCTTTATGTTCTTCGTGGTCGAGTCCTTTGTGCAGCTCAGCCTAAAGCACAAAAAATAAAAATAAAAATACAAAAATAAAAATAAAAATAAAAGATACAAATATTATGTGAAGATAATACTGAAAAATCAGGAAGCATACATTTTTGTTGGCCTTATCAAATTTGGAACTGTCTTTTGCAATAGCCGATGCTCATGATTTTCTATGTTTCTTAGCCTTCTTACTTCCTGAGCATAAAATGCACAATGTCAACTTTGAACATTATGTTTTGAGGATATCATCAAGCATAGCGGTTTCAGAAAATATGGAGTAAGAGTATATGGGTTGCCAGCTGTTGTCATGATCAAAGAATGCAGTATTACCTTGCTTAAAAGCAAGGCATCCTAATTTTTCTTCAAAAAGAGAATGAATTGCCTCCCTATAATATTTGATTACATTTCATAAAGGTCACTTGATTTGCTGTAATTTAAGGTTAAGATATGCTGAGCGTGCATGCAAAGGTAAGACTTTTGTTTATTTCTCCCAGATATACACAAAAATGATATGCAAAAGTATATGATCATGAAAGCGATCATTAACTAGTAACACACCCACAATGGACTGTTTCAGGGCATGCTAAACTAATGAACAGTTACGTGGGTTTATGTGCTCATGAGTACAATTATAAGGATCGAGAAAGATCACATTTACAACAAATAAATTTGTGTTGTGAAAGTCCAAATCCTCTAAGTTTACAGGCTATTGTGTTCTCTTACGACACCAACAAGTCACTAAAATAATATGTTCAAACTCAGTAATGTACCTCTATACTGATAGATCCTTCTACTACAAATGATAAAATCTCAAAAAGATGTCATGTCAATAGTGTGCTAGGAGATACTTGCTTTGCATCTCCTTCATCTTTGACTACTTGATGATTTTAATTTTTTTCTTACACAGGCACACAAGCTTCAAATTCTCCCATCTCAAGGAAGAACACATTTTCAACTTAATGACAGCTAGCTTCACCATTCTGTCAAATGAAACATACTTGTAAACAGAGACCGATTCCACTAACTATAGCCATTCAATAAATTTGTCCAAATCTATATGATCATCAAAATCTGATAAATCAACACGCACTCCAAAGTCATCCTCTCTCCTCTATACTCAATGCCGAACCGACGTAGCATTAAGTTTATTGTTGCTTGAGGCTTCTTGGTGATAAGGGTGTCCATCATATTCTCCATCCTAGTAGTTACCGTTGTGGCTATTTGTGTCTTTCTCATGTTATTTTCTTTAAAAATTAACAATCCTTCCTTCCAATTGGAAGATTTCCCGCAGTATATCTTTCATCGTAAGCTTTTAAACACCTTATGTCTAGACTTAGGTAGCAGGTGTAGGGCTAAATTTCGGTGGAGATAGAAATGTTAGATTTTGAAGGTTTACATTTAAGGAACTGGAATAAGGATTTCACTTCGGTACCAAATGATATTAATCTAGGGTCTAGAAAGTGTTTTAAAATCAAATCTAAGCCAAAAAATATTGTAGAATGGGAAGAAGAAAAGATGGGAAGGTTGTGAAGATTAGAAGAGGAAACAACTACTTCCGGCAATTGTCCAAGAGAAAGACAGAAGGGTCTTGCAGAAAGAACAGTAGAAATTGCAGTAAAAGGCAATATCGGCAAGGTTTGGATGCAAAGCGACCAACCGACACTTCTGGAACAAGGCCTACCACTTACAAGACATAGGGTTACATAAATTCTATAAAAAAAATTTGGGATGTTCATGAAGAAGCAAATATTATGTGAGATAAAGTAACAAACAATATTAAACAAGTTGCAAAAGATGTGCTTGGAAAATCAAAAAAAATTTTTTATAAATAAAAATAGTTGGTGGTTGAATAATAATGTGGAAGAAAAGATAAAATAGAAGAAGTTATGTTATAAAAATTGATTTAAATGTAAAAGCTTAGAAAACTTAGAAAAATATCAAACGGTCCGCAGAGAGTCTAAAAGAACAATCTGTGACGCTAAAAATTTTATTTTTAATGAGCTTTATAATAGATTAGATATTAAGGAGGGTGAAAAATATATGTATAAACTAGCCAAACAAAGAGAGAAGAAAAGTAAGGATTTAACTCAAGTAAAGTGTATTAAACATGAAAATCAAAAAATACTTTTCTTAGAAAAAGATATTCAACATCAGTGGGTTAATTATTTTGATAAACTTTTTAATGAAGTTTCTGAAATACGATCGGCCTTAGTGATCTTAATATCGTGAATAATAACAAAACGTTTCATTTTTACCGTCGCATTAGTAAAAAAAAAGTTGAGGCTTTAAAGAAAACCAAGGGTGGAAAGTCTGTAGGACCTGATGATATTCCAATTGAAGTGTGGAAATATTTAAGAGATTTGGGAGTTTCTTGGCTTACTAAACTCTTTAATATTATTTTAAAAACTAAAAAGATGCCTGAGGAGTGGAGAAAGAGTATTTTGATCCCCATTTTTAAGAATAAAGGGGATGCACAAGAATGCA